GCCTTCACCTTGACGACAGGGTGCGGGACCTCTTACTGGCGCCTTCACCTTAACGACAGGGTGCGGGACCTCTTACAGGTCCCTACACCTTAACGACAGGGTGCGGGACCTCTTACAGGCGCCTTCACCTTAACGACAGGGTGTGGGACCTCTTACAGGCGCCTTCACCTTGACGACAGGGTGCGGGACCTCTTACAGGTCCCTTCACCTTGACGACAGGGTGCGAGACCTCTTACAGCCACCTTCACCTTAACGACAGGGTGCGGGACCTCTTACAGCCACCTTCACCTTGACGACAGGGTGCGGGACCTCTTACTGGCGCCTTCACCTTGACGACAGGGTGCGGGACCTCTTACAGCCACCTTCACCTTGACGACAGGGTGCGGGACCTCTTACTGGCGCCTTCACCTTAACGACAGGGTGCGGGACCTCTTACAGCCACCTTCACCTTGACGACAGGGTGCGGGACCTCTTACTGGCGCCTTCACCTTGACGACAGGGTGCGGGACCTCTTACAGCCACCTTCACCTTAACGACAGGGTAAGAGACCTCTTACAGCCACCTTCACCTTAACGACAGGGTGCGGGACCTCTTACTGGCGCCTTCACCTTGACGACAGGGTGCGGGACCTCTTACAGCCACCTTCACCTTGACGACAGGGTGCGAGACCTCTTACAGCCACCTTCACCTTGACGACAGGGTGCGGGACCTCTTACTGGCGCCTTCACCTTAACGATAGGGTGCGAGACCTCTTACAGCCACCTTCACCTTGACGACAGGGTGCGGGACCTCTTACAGCCACCTTCACCTTGACGACAGGGTGCGGGACCTCTTACAGCCACCTTCACCTTAACGACAGGGTGCGGGACCTCTTACTGGCGCCTTCACCTTGACGACAGGGTGCGGGACCTCTTACTGGCGCCTTCACCTTGACGACAGGGTGCGGGACCTCTTACAGGCGTCTTCACCTTGACGACAGGGTGCGGGACCTCTTACAGGCGCCTTCACCTTGACGACAGGGTGCGGGACCTCTTACAGGCGCCTTCACCTTGACGACAGGGTGCGGGACCTCTTACAGGCACCTTCACCTTGACGACAGGGTGCGGGACCTCTTACAGGCGCCTTCACCTTAACGACAGGGTGCGGGACCTCTTACAGGCGTCTTCACCTTAACGACAGGGTGCGGGACCTCTTACTGGCGCCTTCACCTTGACGACAGGGTGCGGGACCTCTTACAGGCGTCTTCACCTTGACGACAGGGTGCGGGACCTCTTACAGGCGTCTTCACCTTGACGACAGGGTGCGGGACCTCTTACAGGCGCCTTCACCTTGACGACAGGGTGCGGGACCTCTTACAGGCGTCTTCACCTTAACGACAGGGTGCGGGACCTCTTACTGGCGCCTTCACCTTGACGACAGGGTGCGGGACCTCTTACTGACGCTTTCACCTTAACGACAGGGTGCGGGACCTCTTACAGGCACTTTCACCTTAACTACAGTGTGCGGGACCTCTTACAGGCTCCTTCACCTTAACGACAGTGTGCGGGACCTCTTACAGGCTCCTTCACCTTAACGACAGGGTGCGGGACCTCTTAGAGGTGGGGTGCTGGGAAGAGGCCAGGTAGACAGGATCGTCAGACATCATAATTCCCAAATGTTTTACAGGTTGCTTTCCTTCTAGGAGAATGTTTAATTGTGTCTTGTGCCCTGTATTTCGTTTAAGTTCCTCGTTTCCCCTATTACTTAGTACCTGGAATTTATCACCGTTTAACATCATGTTATATTCCATTGCCCAATCGAAGACTTAATTTATATGGGCTTGTGGTTTCCAGTGTCATCTACAGAGGAATTTGTCATGCTGATTTCTTTTATCATCTGTAAAGGATGATACTTAGTTGTGACATTATTCTCATTCATTATCTCTGTCCGAAATAAGAATGAGAAATAGCAGTGGTGCAAGGACTGTGCCCTGTGGTACAGAGCTTTTCACTGCACTTGGACTTAATCTTATTTGATTGACTGTTACTCTGCATTCTGTTTGACAGAAAGTTTCAAATCCACCGTTCTGCTTTACCTATTACTCCTATTGATCTCATTTTGCGTGCTATCATTGAATGGTCACATTTGTCGAATGTCTTTGCAAAGTCTGTGTATATAACATCTGCATTTTGTTTTTCTTCTAAAGCTTCTGTTATTCTGTCATAGTGGTTGAGTAACTGACAGACAGGATCTCCCCACTCGAAATCCATGTTGTCCTGGGTTGTGTAGTTCATTGTTGCCCATAAAACTGGAAATTTAATTCCTAATCACTTTTTCAAAAACTTTTATTATATGTGATGTTAGTGCAACTGGTCTATATTTTTTTTGTCAAAGCTTTACTACCTCCCTTGTGCAGAGAAGCTATATCTGCTGATTTAAGTGCCACTGGTATCCCCTCCCTGAATCCAGGCTCTTTCCCCATATTACACTGAGCTTTCGCGCTACTGGTACTTTACATTTCTTTATGAATATTGAATTCCACGAGTCAGGCCAAGAGGCTGATTGCTTTGGCATGTTGTCAATTTCTCTTTCAAAGTCTTCCCAGCTTTTGTTATTATCAGTTATATTATCTGGAGCTTGGATGTCATTCATAAAAAGCTGTCTGGATCTTTACTTTTCATGTTGTTTATTTGAAGATTAATAATTTACAGGTAGGTACTCACCTAGCTGTGCTTGCGAGGGTTGAGCTCTGGCTCTTTGATCCCACCTCTCAACTGTTAATTAACTTGTGTACAGGTTCATGAGCCTACTGGGCTCTATCATTTGAAACTGTGTATGGAGTTTGTCTCCACCACACCACTGCCTAATGCATTCCATCTGTTAAATACAGACACTGATAAAGTTCTTTCTAAAGTCCCTGTGGCTCATTTAGGTATTCAGTTTCCCCCTGTGTCCAATTGTTCGTGTACCACCCGTGTTAAACAATTAATCTTTATCAACCCTCTCAATACCTCTGAGAATTTTGTAGGTACCTACCTTGAGGCTACCTTGAGGTGCTTCCGGGGCTTAGTGTCCCCGCGGCCCGGTCGTCGACCAGGCCTCCTGGTTGCTGGATTAAGGTAGTGATCATATCTTTCCTAACTCTTCTGTCTTCTACTGTCGTGATGTTCAGTTCCTGTAATCTTTCTTCATAGCTCATCCCTCTCAGATCCGGGACTAGCCTGGTGGCATACCTCTGCCACCAGGTGGTGGAGGCCAGGTCCGAAGGCCACATGGGTGGAGAGACAAGGTTGGGAGGCCATGTGGGTGGGGAGACCAGGTTGGGAGGCCATGTGGGTGGGGAGACCAGGTTGGGAGGCCATGTGGGTGGGGAGACCAGGTTGGGAGGCCATGTGGGTGGGGAGGCCAGGTCCGGAGGCCATGTGGGTGGGGAGACCAGGTTGGGAGGCCATGTGGGTGGGGAGATCATGTTGGGAGGCCATGTGGGTGGGGAGACCATGTTGGGAGGCCATGTGGGTGGGAAGACCAGGTTGGGAGGCCAGGTGGGTGGAGAGACCAGGTTGGGAGGCCATGTGGGTGGGGAGATCATGTTGGGAGGCCATGTGGGTGGGGAGACCATGTTGGGAGGCCATGTGGGTGGGAAGACCAGGTTGGGAGGCCATGTGGGTGGGAAGACCAGGTTGGGAGGCCATGTGGGTGGGGAGATCATGTTGGGAGGCCATGTGGGTGGGGAGACCAGGTTGGGAGGCCATGTGGGTGGGGAGACCAGGTTGGGAGGCCATGTGGGTGGGAAGACCAGGTTGGGAGGCCATGTGGGTGGGAAGACCAGGTTGGGAGGCCATGTGGGTGGGGAGACCATGTTGGGAGGACATGTGGGTGGAGAGAGCAGGTTGGGAGGCCATGTGGGTGGGGAGACCATGTTGGGAGGCCATGTGGGTGGGGAGACCAGGTTGGGAGGCCATGTGGGTGGGAAGACCAGGTTGGGAGGCCATGTGGGTGGGGAGACCTGGTTGGGAGGCCATGTGGGTGGGAAGACCAGGTTGGGAGGCCAGGTGGGTGGAGAGACCAGGTTGGGAGGCCATGTGGGTGGGAAGACCAGGTTGGGAGGCCAGGTGGGACGGGGAAGCCAGGTGGGTGCAGAGGCCAGGTGGGTGCGAAGGCCAGACGGGCGGGTTGAACACATAACAGGTTTTGCACGCAACGACTCATAATGGAAGCTTCCCTCACCACCACTCGACCACTATACCACCACCACCGGAACACCATACCATCATACCTGGAGCATATCCCGACAGAGTTTCGGGAGCTCTTCTGCTCCCTGAGTCCGGCCTGGGGCCAGCCTAGACTTGCGATCACTTGGTCCAACAGGCTGTTGCTTCGAGAGGCTTCCAGGCCCACATATCCACTAGAGCCCGGTTGGTCCGGCACTTCTTGGAAGAACTTGCCAAATTGGTTCTCGAAGTCCGCCTTTGTCCAGGCAATATATACGTAACGATTGCTGGGAGGGTATTGAACAGCCGTGGACCTCTGATGTTCAGACAATACTCTGATTGTGCCAATGGCACCTCTACTCTTCACTGGTTCATTTCCTCCGTATCTTTCGCTCCAGTATGTTCTTATTCTACTGGGCAAATTTGAGACCTGGCCTTCCAGTATCTTTCATGTGTATATTATTTGATACCTTTCTCGTCTCCTTTCCAGAAAGTACATTTTGAAAGCTTTGAGACGGTCTCAATAATTTTGATGTTTTACCTTTTCTGTGCGTGCCGTATATGTTCTCTGTATTCATTCTAGTTCGGAGATCTCTCCTGCTCTGAAAGGGGAAGTGAGTACCAAGCAATACTCAAGACGGGACAGCATCAGTGATTTAAATAGAATTAGCATTGCTGTGGGGTCCCTGGATTTGAACGTTCTCATAATCCATCCTATCATTTTCCTGGCCGCCGCTATATTTACTCGGTTATGTTCACTAAATGTCAGGTCGTTAGACATCTTAATTCCCAATTTTCCCTCGTGGCAAGCGTTCCCTGGCCTACCCTCGGGGCAAGTCTTCCCTGGCCTACCCTCGGGGCAAGCCTTCCCTGGCCTACCCTCGGGGCAAGCCTTCCCTGGCCTACCCTCGGGGCAAGTCTTCCCTGGCCTACCCTCGTGGCAAGTCTTCCCTGGCCTACCCTCGGGGCAAGTCTTCCCTGACCTACCCTCGGGGCAAGCCTTCCCTGGCCTACCCTCGGGGCAAGTCTTCCCTGGCCTACCCTCGTGGCAAGTCTTCCCTGGCCTACCCTCGGGGCAAGTCTTCCCTGGCCTACCCTCGGGGCAAGCCTTCCCTGGCCTACCCTCGGGGCAAGCCTTCCCTGGCCTACCCTCGGGGCAAGTCTTCACTGGCCTACCCTCGGGGCAAGCCTTCCCTGGCATACCCTCGGGACAAGCTTTCCCTGGCCTACCTTCGCGGCAAGTCTTCCCTGGCCTACCCTCGGGGCAAGCCTTCCCTGGCCTACCCTCGGGGCAAGCCTTCCCTGACCTACCCTCGGGGCAAGCCTTCCCTGGCCTACCCTCGTGGCAAGTCTTCCCTGGCCTACCCTCGGGGCAAGCCTTCCCAGGCCTACCCTCGTGGCAAGTCTTCCATGGCCTATCCTCGTGGCAAGTCTTCCATGGCCTATCCTCGTGGCAAGTCTTCCCTGGCCTACCTTCGGGGCAAGCCTTCCCTGACCTACCCTCGGGGCAAGCCTTCCCTGGCCTACCCTCGGGGCAAGTCTTCCCTGTCCTACCCTCGGGGCAAGCCTTCCCTGGCCTACCCTCGTGGCAAGTCTTCCCTGGCCTACCCTCGGGGCAAGCCTTCCCTGGCCTACCCTCGGGGCAAGCCTTCCCTGACCTACCCTCGGGGCAAGCCTTCCCTGGCCTACCCTCGTGGCAAGTCTTCCCTGGCCTACCCTCGGGGCAAGCCTTCCCTGGCCTACCCTCGGGGCAAGCCTTCCCTGGCCTACCCTCGTGGCAAGTCTTCCCTGGCCTACCCTCGGGGCAAGCCTTCCCTGGCCTACCCTCGGGGCAAGCCTTCCCTGGCCTACCCTCGGGGCAAGCCTTCCCTGGCCTACCCTCGGGGCAAGTCTTCCCTGGCCTACCCTCGGGGCAAGTCTTCCCTGGCCTACCCTCGGGGCAAGCCTTCCCTGACCTACCCTCGGGGCAAGCCTTCCCTGGCCTACCCTCGTGGCAAGTCTTCCCTGGCCTACCCTCGGGGCAAGCCTTCCCAGGCCTACCCTCGTGGCAAGTCTTCCATGGCCTACCCTCGTGGCAAGTCTTCCCTGGCCTACCCTCGGGGCAAGCCTTCCCTGGCCTACCCTCGGGGCAAGCCTTCCCTGGCCTACCCTCGTGGCAAGTCTTCCCTGGCCTACCCTCGTGGCAAGTCTTCCCTGGCCTACCCTCGGGGCAAGCCTTCCCTGGCCTACCCCCGGGGCAAGCCTTCCCTGGCCTACCCTCGGGGCAAGAACGACCCATAGATGAGTCACAAAATTAAGGCTGTCAAATATGGGCGTCGAAGTCTTGATAATGTTGTTTAGGGAACGTTAACTTTACGAAGGCTTCCCATTATAGTGGGAGCGGTGAACGTCAGGCGGCTTCAGTGTCTAAGAATAAAGTTAAGGAATGAGCCCGTTCTCTCAATCGTAAAAAATGCAACTGTTTTGTTTGACCAGAAGCATCCAGTCCTCAAGCACTCACCTGACCTATCGAGGTGATAGGTCACCTGCCTATTTAGGTGACCTATTTACTAATGACCTATTTACTAATACGTACTACTTTCGAGGTATTGGTTGATTCCGTTAAAAATACGCCGTATTGGATGAGAGGACGGGTTGGGAAGGTATTTTTGTTGGTGTGGTGTGGATGTGATGGGCTTCAAAAACAATAATTGGGAAGGAAAGGGCGAGGATGAAAAAATATAATTGGATGGGTCGTCCACATCAACACGAGAGGGAGAGAAAGAGCTGGCCAGGATTGTTGTAACTGAACACAAGACGTCAGAGAGAGAGAGGAACTGTTTGATATTTTCCCTCTGACTGTTGCTGAGTGCTGACACTGTTCACGGTAGCTGAGTGCTGACACTGTTCACGGTAGCTGAGTGCTGACACTGTTCACGGTAGCTGAGTGCTGACACTGTTCACGGTGACTGTTGCTGAGTGCTGACACTGTTCACGGTAGATTAGTATAAAATGCACCCGTTTATGAACAAGAATAACGGTACAACTTGTAAACAGATAGGAGGCTGGGCCGAGTACTGTCATGTTAGGAGGCTGGGCCGAGTACTGTCACGTTAGGAGACTGGCCGAGTACTGTCACGTTAGGAGGCTGGCCGAGTACTGTCACGTTAGGAGGCTGGGCCGAGTACTGTCATGTTAGGAGGCTGGGCCGAGTACTGTCACGTTAGGAGGCTGGCCGAGTACTGTCACGTTAGGAGGCTGGCCGAGTACTGTCACGTTAGGAGGCTGGGCCGAGTACTGTCACGTTAGGAGGCTGGGCCGAGTACTGTCACGTTAGGAGGCTGGGCCGAGTACTGTCACGTTAGGAGGCTGGGCCGAGTACTCTCACGTTAGGAGGCTGGGCCGAGTACTCTCACGTTAGGAGGCTGGGCCGAGTACTGTCACGTTAGGAGGCTGGGCCGAGTACTCTCACGTTAGGAGGCTGGGCCGAGTACTGTCACGTTAGGAGGCTGGGCCGAGTACTGTCACGTTAGGAGGCTGGGCCGAGTACTGTCACGTTAGGAGGCTGGGCCGAGTACTGTCACGTTAGGAGGCTGGGCCGAGTACTCTCACGTTAGGAGGCTGGGCCGAGTACTGTCACGTTAGGAGGCTGGGCCGAGTACTGTCACGTTTGGAGGCTGGGCCGAGTACTGTCACGTTAGGAGGCTGGGCCGAGTACTGTCACGTTAGGAGGCTGGGCCGAGTAGTCACGTTAGAAGGCTGGGCCGAGTACTGTCACGTTAGGAGGCTGGGCCGAGTACTGTCACGTTAGGAGACTGGGCCGAGTAGTGTCACGTTAGGAGACTGGGCCGAGTAGTGTCACGTTAGGAGGCTGGGCCGAGTACTGTCACGTTAGGAGGCTGGGCCGAGTAGTGTCACGTTAGGAGGCTGGGCCGAGTACTGTCACGTTAGTAGGCTGGGCCGAGTACTCTCACGTTAGGAGGCTGGGCCAAGTACTCACATGTAAGGAGGCTGGGCCGAGTACTGTCATGTTAGGAGGCTGGGCCGAGTACTCTCATGTTAGGAGGCTGGGCCGAGAACTGTCATGTTAGGAGGCTGGGCCGAGTACTCTCATGTTAGGAGGCTGGGCCGAGTAATCTCATGTTAGGAGGCTGGGCCGAGAACTGTCATGTTAGGAGGCTGGGCCGAGTACTTTCATGTTAGGAGGCTGGGCCGAGTACTCTCATGTTAGGAGGCTGGGCCGAGTAGTGTCCCGTTAGGAGGCTGGGCCGAGTAGTGTCCCGTTAGGAGGCTGGGCCGAGTACTGTCATATTAGGAGGCTGGGCCGAGTAGTGTCCCGTTAGGAGGCTGGGCCGAGTACTGTCATATTAGGAGGCTGGGCCAAGTACTCTCATGTTAGGAGGCTGGGCCGAGTAGTGTCCCGTTAGGAGGCTGGGCCGAGTAGTGTTCTGTTAGAAGGCTGGGCCGAGTAGTGTCATATTAGGAGGCTGGGCCGAGTACTGTCATATTAGGAGGCTGGGCCGAGTACTGTCCCGTTAGGAGGCTGGGCCGAGTAGTGTCATATTAGGAGGCTGGGCCGAGTACTGTCATATTAAGAGGCTGGGCCAAGTACTGTCCCGTTAGGAGGCTGGGCCGAGTTGTGTCATGTTAGGAGGCTGGGCCGAGTACTGTCATGTTAGGAGGCTGGGCCGAGTACTGTCATGTTAGGAGACTGGGCCGAGTACTGTCATGTTAGGAGGCTGGGCCGAGTACTCTCATGTTAGGAGGCTGGGCCGAGTACTCTCATGTTAGGAGGCTGGGCCGAGTACTCTCATGTTAGGAGGCTGGGACGAGTACTGTCATGTTAGGAGGCTGGGCCGAGTACTCTCATGTTAGGAGGCTGGGCCGAGTACTCTCATGTTAGGAGGCTGGGACGAGTACTGTCATGTTAGGAGGCTGGGCCGAGTACTCTCATGTTAGGAGGCTGGGCCGAGTACTCTCATGTTAGGAGGCTGGGACGAGTACTGTCATGTTAGGAGGCTGGGCCGAGTACTCTCATGTTAGGAGGCTGGGCCGAGTAATTGCAATATATACCAAAAATGGAAACACATGTTCTTCGTAAATTATCAAATAAATTTTTTTTATTTGTAAAACACAAAAGTATTGTGCTCCTGACGCCACCATAACTTATACAAGATAACAGTATGGTGCTCCTCACGCCACCATAACTTTCACAAGATATAATTTCTTCAAGTACAGTGTGCTTGTAGAAATGAGAGGCACTGTGGTTGCAGCGATCAACAAGACCAACATTACAGGGGGAGAGGTTCGCATCACATCCCATGGTGAGGTCGCTGCCAAGGTCAAACCACAACAACACACACGAACAAAGGCAGAATGAGAACAATACAATGGGTTGTTACCAACAATAATGACACATATATGAGCAGTCGTGTAAACAAAGTTTTATATATTATTACAAACGATTTAGATGTGCCTTAAGCCGGGGAAGCTTAGAGAAGTGACGCCAGCTTACATAAGGCTGGTTCTATATGAGACAACGTTAGGATAAGACCAGAACAAAATGTGAGGTAAGTCCCCATAAGGTGGAAACGTGAGATAAGTTCTCATAAGGTAGAAATGTAAGATAAGTTCACATTCTTTCTCAGCCCCACCGAAATGCCCAGTCCCCGACTAAGAAACGCCCTCTAATATCCTAAATGTGCTCTCGCAGCCTTCCTAGATCTTAAGAAATGCCTTCTCGGCCACTAAGACTTGCCCTCCCAGCCCATAAGAAGTACTCCATCAGCCCCTTCTTATCCATCTTCCCCCTTTAGGAAATGTTGTCCCAGGACGTCTGATAATGTCTGTGGACATTCGAGGCAGACAACACAGCGTTGAGGTCTTGACAATTTCAAATTAATAGGAAACCACTGGACAAAAGATCTCGCGAAAACTATAGGCCTAAGTTATTTTCCTAGCTGGAGGAACTTAAACCTAACTTGAGTGACTGGAGAGGGAAATGTTCGTGTTCCTTAAGGTGAACTTGTAAGATTTCATCAAGTGCATATTATGCCTCGCTTCGAGGCCATGACCTTCCAGTAATTAACTAGGCCTAAAGGTAACTCACAGTTGATTGAATTTTACGTCTAGGCCTATTTTAATTATATGTCGAAATTTTTAATCCAAGTTGGTAATGGTTGGTTTTTGCTATAACTTCGAAAATCATGTCTGAAGATCAAGAAATTGACAACAATTATATTGAGAGTGTGCACACAAAATGTTAGGTTAGCTCTACTGAAATTTAACATCTTGTGTATCGTGAGGATTAACATTTTCGACAAATTACATTTTAAAGAATTTTTATTGGACCAACTCTGGCTACTTAAGTGTATGGTGGCGGCTGATGTCAGTGTCCGGCTGTCTGGTCCCTGGCTGTGCCTGGGTGACAGTGTCCGGCTGTCTGGTCTCTGGCTGTGCCTGGGTGACAGTGTCCGGCTGTCTGGTCCCTGGCTGTGCCTGGGTGACAGTGTCCGGCTGTCTGGTCCCTGGCTGTGTCTGGGTGACAGTGTCCGGCTGTCTGGTCCCTGGCTGTGCCTGGGTGACAGTGTCCGGCTGTCTGGTCCCTGGCTGTGTCTGGGTGACAGTGTCCGGCTGTCTGGTCTTTGGCTATGCCTGGGTGACAGTGTCCGGCTGTCTGGTCTCTGGCTGTGCCTGGGTGACAGTGTCCGGCTGTCTGATCTCTGGCTGTGCCTGGGTGACAGTGTCCGGCTGTGCCTGGGTGACAGTGTCCGGCTGTGCCTGGATGACAGTGTCCGGCTGTGCCTGGGTGACAGTGTTCGGCTGTGCCTGGGTGACAGTGTCCGGCTGTCTGGTCTCTAGCTGTGCCTAGGGTGTCAGTGTCCGGCTGTCTGGTCTCTGGCTATGCCTGGGGTGTCAGTGTCCGGCTGTCTGGTCTCTGACTGTGCCTGGGGTGACAGTGTCCAGCTGTCTGGTCTCTGGCTGTGCCTGGGTGACAGTGTCCGGCTGTCTGGTCTCTGACTGTGCCTGGGGTGACAGTGTCCGGCTGTCTGGTCTCTGGCTGTGCCTGGGTGACAGTGTCCGGCTGTCTGGTCTCTGACTGTGCCTGGGGTGACAGTGTCCGGCTGTCTGGTCTCTGGCTGTGCCTGGGTGACAGTGTCCGGCTGTCTAGTCTCTGGCTGTGCCTGGGGTGACAGTGTCTGGCTGTCTGGTCTCTGACTGTGCCTGGGTGACAGTGTCCGGCTGTCTGGTCTCTGGCTGTGCCTGGGTGACAGTGTCCGGCTGTCTGATCTCTGGCTGTGCCTGGGTGACAGTGTCCGGCTGTGCCTGGGTGACAGTGTCCGGCTGTGCCTGGATGACAGTGTCCGGCTGTGCCTGGGTGACAGTGTTCGGCTGTGCCTGGGTGACAGTGTCCGGCTGTCTGGTCTCTAGCTGTGCCTAGGGTGTCAGTGTCCGGCTGTCTGGTCTCTGGCTATGCCTGGGGTGTCAGTGTCCGGCTGTCTGGTCTCTGACTGTGCCTGGGGTGACAGTGTCCGGCTGTCTGGTCTCTGGCTGTGCCTGGGTGACAGTGTCCGGCTGTCTGGTCTCTGACTGTGCCTGGGGTGACAGTGTCCGGCTGTCGGGTCTCTGGCTGTGCCTGGGTGACAGTGTCCGGCTGTCTAGTCTCTGGCTGTGCCTGGGGTGACAGTGTCTGGCTGTCTGGTCTCTGGCTGTGCCTGGGTGACAGTATCCGGCTGTCTGGTCTCTGGCTGTGCCTGGGGTGACAGTGTCCGGCTGTCTAGTCTCTGGCTGTGCCTGGGTGACAGTGTCCGGCTGTCTAGTCTCTGGCTGTGCCTGGGTGACAGTGTCCGGCTGTCTGATCTCTGTCTGTGCCTGGGGTGACAGTGTCCGGCTGTCTGGTCTCTGGCTGTGCCTGGGTGACAGTGTCCGGCTGTGCCTGGGTGACAGTGTCCGGCTGTGCCTGGATGACAGTGTCCGGCTGTGCCTGGGTGACAGTGTCCGGCTGTCTGGTCTCTGACTGTGCCTGGGGTGACAGTGTCCGGCTGTCTGGTCTCTGGCTGTGCCTGGGTGACAGTGTCCGGCTGTCTAGTCTCTGGCTGTGCCTGGGGTGACAGTGTCTGGCTGTCTGGTCTCTGGCTGTGCCTGGGTGACAGTGTCCGGCTGTCTGGTCTCTGGCTGTGCCTGGGGTGACAGTGTCCGGCTGTCTGGTCTCAGGCTGTGCCTGGGTGACAGTGTCCGGCTGTCTAGTCTCTGGCTGTGCCTGGGTGACAGTGTCCGGCTGTCTGGTCTCTGGCTGTGCCTGGGTGACAGTGTCCGGCTGTCTGGTCTCTGGCTGTGCCTGGGTGACAGTGTCCGGCTGTCTGGTCTCTGGCTGTGCCTGGGTGACAGTGTCCGGCTGTCTGATCTCTGTGCCTGGGGTGACAGTGTCCGGCTGTCTGGTCTCTGGCTGTGCCTGGGGTGACAGTGTCCGGCTGTCTGGTCTCTGGCTGTGCCTGGGTGACAGTGTCCGGCTGTCTGGTCTCTGGCTGTGCCTGGGTGACAGTGACGTCAGCCGGGATACTGGCGCTAGCAGTTTGATGTAAATATCAAAGAATATACTAAAGATTATTTTAGGGACACAGGGAAAGCAAGGTTCTAGTCATCCAGAAAATCAGAGAATGTTACGAGAAGGCACGAGACTGGCACCAGGACAATGCACTTCTAACAGTCCGTCCTCCTAAGGTTTCAAAACGTCAAGAAAACGGTTCATTTAAAGTCTCCTCTCCTAACATAACAGACTAAGCCACAAGACTCAAAACAGAAAACGGGACAGTTAGTCACTTTCGCGAGCCGCTTCTATTTTCTAGTACCACAATTTTTAGCCTTAATAACGCATACGAGCAAAAAGCGACGTTCTTTGTAAAAGGATAAGTGGAACAGTCAGGCTCTAACAGTTCTAACAGTAACAGTCTTTGTTACATTAAGTGGCCATGAGTTGACTGAATGTGACCAAGACGTAGTCTAACAAAACATCTTTCCCACTTCATGTCATGGTGGCAGGCCAGGCGACAGGTTACTTTTATTAGTACGTAGTTTTATTCGTAATAACTACCCATCTATCTCTCCAACTGTTATATATTACTTCATGAATGACACGATTCGAATGTGAGTAAAGAATTCATTTCTGGATGAAAGGTTAGGCATGAACGGCTGCTTTAGCAGGGAAGTCGTGAGAAGCAGCACTAACAAGGCCGCAACCCAGCAAAGTTCCACTGTCTTATATCTGCTAAAAATGCAGCCCGTCCTCCAAAAATGGAGAGGTAAATGTAGGACTTGATCAACAAAGGATGTGACGGCTTACAGGACTCCGAGGTCACTTTAAGAGTCAACCACAGTAACAAACGAATGTTTGCTCAGGAAAAGTAGCCGTCTTGAGAGCAGAGAGGATAAAAGAAAAGTTATGCAGCAAAAATACTCACCTTAGGAGGTAGGCGGCAGATGGTCTGACCAGGAAAAAGACTGGAGAAGCCAACGCCATCAACTGACTTCAATTCCTTAGTAAACGGAGCAGTAGCTCGTGAATAGCAGTAACAATACACATGAAAAATGTGTTTGAGGACAGTAGGAGGCCTTTAAGCCTCATATCGGTTATTGTTTGACATCATTTAACAAGTAGGGCTTCCCATGGAGGCCAGGTCGGCACGATACAAGGCGACACATTACACATGTGTACAGGAAGACAAGCCTGCGAGCGGCCAATCCGTGCAATAGAAGACTGTTAAGGAGAGTAAGCAGAGCTTTCAGTAAGAGCAGCGGTTAAGGTGTGGTTCAAGAGTTAATGGAAGCTTTGTAATACCGATCACGGCTGTCTTGTTACGACGAAGCGCGTGTTTCAACACATAAGTTCTGGACTGAGGAAGAACGACACACCTCCGAGCTGGGGTGTGAGAACGTGTAATGCAGAGGGTCATGATGAAGGACGAAGCCGTAGTGTGCAGGGCTTAGCGCTGGGAAGGAGCGCAAATGTAGAAGCATCTGCCTATCTGCCCTGCAATAGGCCTACCAGCAGCTGGAAATCCTACGGAGACACCATAGCAAATTTCATGTGATACCCTTTAGAGGAGTTCATCAAGTTGCCTCTTGAACACAGTTATAGCTCTGTTCGTACTTTACCTTTTATCCAGACCGAAGATGTTGAAAATTTGAATTAAAATTTAGAATCTTTGTTCATAAATGCATGTGTTTACATATCCATGCATTCAAAAACTTCAGTCATTAATGGTTGTGCATCTTTAATTCACTCAGTATACAACAATTTTAAATGACTATTAATCTATACAAGAAGAGCGAAGTTTTAATAGCCTAAGCTTATCATGTTACAAATAAAAGACCCAGTTAGCCAAGGTGCTCAGTGGAATGACCTGAAATGTTTCTGTTGTGGTTTACTTATATTAATAAATGCGTTATGTTGGCCGTTGCCTCTGAATGACACAGCAATAGGGACCTCAGCAGCTCCCCGGATGACTACCCACCCAGAGTGGTGAAGTAGAGTGAGGAGCTCAACTGATGAACTCTGTAACCAGCACTTTTACACTTAGCTGGCCTCGCCTCCTCCTCGGGCGCCTTCTTCCTCAACGGCCCGCCAACACTCTTCACTGGTTGAACGTGAGGATATATTGAGCACTAAATCTTTCATACATTTCTATACAACTATCCATAGTGTCTTTGGTTGGCGCCAATAGAACTTGACTATTAGCATAGCAAAATATTACCAGTCAGTGTCATAGCCTATGCGACCGCTGACTTTACTGGCTCTTTACTCTTGCTTAAAAGGTTCTTGTTATTCAGAATATCATTATTTCTTGCAGTTGCGACAGATATATTATTGTGCTCTTTGTTATGTTCTTCATTCTAACCCATACTCCTGTTTAGACAGTAAACGGGACGATGAGTTGGAATACACCATAAACCTTTCAGTAACTATGTGCACCATAGTACAAAAATTTATGTAAATCTAGGTAAATGTAGTCAATCTAGGTAATTAGATTGTAGAATTTAGTACTATAATGTTTTACACTTTAAAGTTCGAAAAAATCAAGCTAAACACCAAACTTAAATAATCCTAGGCCTAGTATAGCACATTTATGTACTATATTAGGCCTCGTATATCTTGTATTAGGCCTAGGAACGTTAGGTTACCTTGTCATTGCAACATAAATACAAAACCTTTTCCGGTTTGTTCAAGTTCAATAGTAACGATTTCTACTTTTTAACTGTCCATTACGTCATATATGTACTATGGTCCTCATCGTTACTATAAAAAGTAACTAAACAGGAAGATGTGCTTTGTATTCACAATGTCACCGGACTTTATTCCCAAATCGTTTACTTTTCCCTTCTGCTCAACGGTAATTTGGAGAATTTTTTATACGGGTCCACTTTCAATTGTTTTGTATGTTCCATTGCCCAGTTGTGTGTATGTTTACTAGCTGTACCCGGCCACAGCAACCTTCCCCTGTCTCCCAGTCCTCCCCACCATTACCCCCTTCCATGTCCCCTCGTCCTTCAACCATTCCTCACTCCCCCGTCCCCTCGTCCTCCCAACCCTTCCCTCCCCCCGTCCCTTTGTCCTCCCCACCATCCCCCACTCCACCCTCCCCTCGTCCTCTGTACCATTCCACCCTCCCTCGTGCCCTCGTCCTCCCCACCATCCCTGTCCCCTTGTCCTCCCCATCATTCACCATTCCCCTCGTCCCCACCATCCCCAACTCCCCTGTCCCCTCGTCCTCCACACTATTACCCCCTACCCTGTCCCCTCGTCCTCCCCACCATCCCCCACTCCCGTCCCCTCGTTCTCCCCAACATTCCCCACTCCCTTGCCTGATACATTCCCAAATGATCTGATGTTCCCATCAGATAATTGGGAACATCAAATGATCTGATGTTCCCATCACTGAAATATAAGAAAAACAGTTTAAAAATGAAATGAAAAACAATAAAAGATATAAAAAATAAACTATACTCATGAAATGAACGGTATGGTAAACAACACAGCTAAATTCCGACGCAATGTCATACAAAATAATTAAATCAAAATGAAAATCAATCGAAATCTATGAAAATTCCATTTATCAATAAAATTGGAAACATTGAAATGGAATCATAACATATTTAGTATAACGTGTGTTGCTCTTACGTGCAACAGATGGCGCTGTTTTTCAAAAAAGCCTGTTTTTACCTGTCACAGGTGTGGCATCTATACTTATACTCACGAAATGAACAGTATGGAAACAACACAGCTCAATTCCAATGGAATGTGATACAAAATAATTAAATCAAAATGAAAATAAATCGAAATCTATGAAAATTCAACTTGTCAATGCAATCGGAAACATTGAAATGAAATCGTAACTGTTACGAACCCGAGTCCATCGTCGGAGCACGGAGCAGTGATGACAACGCTATCTGTGAGTCCGCTCCCGAAAACCCCCACAACATGGACCACGCCATATAGTGATGACGGGATATGGCGGCAATGGGCGCTAGATTCTTGTCCTGGTAGCTCATGAAGTAGCCGCTGCAGACCTCTGGTGAGGTGGCACTTAGACAGTGAACGCCATCTATGGAGCGAAAAGGTGGACGTTTGTGTCTAAGCCAGTAAGTGATGTTTCCTAGTGGTTCCTATGTTGTGTCCCAGTACTGATGACGTGTCTGCTTTCACAGAGTCAACCTAGGACGGCTGTGATGTACGTTGAATCAGTCTACCCAAGGCAGCCAAGGTCTCTTCACCAGTCTGCTTTGTAGAAGCTGTGAGCCACCCACGGACAAACTGCTGAGTGTGCAATTATCTGCCTGAGGAGTGGCAGTGACGGGATTTGCCATACCCGGGGCTGGCTGGTGGAAGAGACAACCCACTGCGGTGCCGACCGAGGAGAGTGACCAGCGAGTTGCACGAGGCTCCTGCCTAGGGCTCGCAACCCTAGTATTCGTCGTGAAGTGGCCTAACAGCGAGGCTGATTGGTACCTGCCAGCTACAGGTACCTGGGTGCCTTCACGACGGGGCACCCAGTGGGATTGTGATTTGGCTGGTCTGTGGCCAGGGTAGGTTCATCGTGGGTTCTGGGCCACGGAAGAGGAAACCAGGCAAGACTCCACAGAGTGAGCGTCGCCAAGTATCCAGCGTCTTCAGAGGGAGACGAAGATATATATATTGTGTAGTAATAGTTCCCGTTAGTGACTTTTAATCTATATATGGTGGTGGGTAAAGAATATATATATTGAAAGAGACGAACTTGTGTATTTTAATGTACCTCCCCTGTTAATTTTACTTGCATTGCGGAGCTCACCCCTTGAAAGCCTCTAACTAAACTTGGGGCCGGATACCCAAAACTAATACCAACAGAAAAGAACCCGGTTGCGTCCTATTAGGGCCGTAACAGTAACATATTTACTATAGAATGTGTTGCTGTTATGTGCAAAAGATACCACTTTTTTCAAAAGAAGCATGTTTTTACTTGTCACAGGTGTGGCATCTATATATTAGATATATAAAAACGCGCGCCTATTCGAATGCAACATTATGTCAA